TCGGCCGCCCGCCCGTCCGCTTCCGAATCTCGCTTCCAGCAGAGCCAATCAACGCTCTCCGAACGGGACGTGGACCGGAAAATACGCGAAGCGCCCCGGTGGCGGCTGAAGCGGTCCCTGATTTTCCTTAGAGATGAGAATCGGGGATCTCCGGCTCAGCTCGGCTGAGTTGCGGGAACTCGAAAAGATGGCGCATCATCTTCCTCGAGGCGATAATCCTAATCTACGGATTCGAACGGGAAACGCCGGGGAACCGTTCCGAAATCACAAATCTCGCAGCTCTGGCACGGGGGTTTTGACGATGTCAGTCCAGTCGGACCTGTCCGCTCTCCACGAGTAGATCTCCGAGCAACTCCAGATTAGGAAAATTCCGGGGAGGAGCAGTCCGAGTTACGCACAACGCGAGCAGGAATCCGCAGCTTGCGAGAGAGATCGATTCCGCGAGAAGCGAAGCGTACGGTAAGTATTTCGGAAACGGAGAACACTGTAGTCCGCTCGAGGGTTACGCGCACCAATCAGATCGCCATGGTGGCTCGTTCCCTCGAGTTCTCATTTGTCTCAGAACTTCGAGTAATCTGACGGAACAGAAGCGCGAACAGAAGTTAGCTTCGTCATGGACGAAAGTCAGAAGACTCGCCGAACAGCAGCGAGCGAAGAAACCATCGACGCCGCCACAGAAACTGGTGGAGAAGGGAATCGCGCTTCCCCTGCTCTTGCTTGCTCGACTGTCTGCCCGCCGCCCGCCCGCCCGCTTGCTCACTCGCGGTTCATGGGTTTTTAAGAGACAGAACGATGAGGATGGTCGCTGCGGCGGAAAGACTCTTCGGAGTCATGAAATGAATGTTGGCTCGATGCTTCCAAACAACGGTTCGAAACGATCCGCCGGCTGCCTGGCTTGACGGCGGCCAATGACTGTTACGTAAAATAACGGTTGTTACTGAGCACTTGTTATAATGGTCCCCAAACAGATGTCGGAGCAACGAATTAGAGAGAACATCAAGGCGAAGATGATGGTCATGATTTTGCTGAGCGTTCTTCAGATTATGTTACCCTCTCAGGCAACAAGAGCGATTCCGCCCGTTCGAACAGCGGCGGGAAGATCTCGGGAAGCGTCTCAGTTTCATCCACGGATTCTTTGTGCGGAGAGTTTTTCCGCTGTTGTTGACCGGCTGATGGATGTACCGCGACGGATCCCTATCGCCTCCCGCCGATTTACATAATTCGCATTGTTCAGTCTGATCGGGAGCATACGGAGTTCGGTGTTTGCGATTCGCTCCAAATATTCAAGAAAGCGTCGGGCTGAATCTCCTCGATTATCATGCACTGGTGGTTCATCGGGTCGGCCCAACTCTTGGTTCCGTTTTCGAAGATCGACTTCAGAGGGAAACCGAAAGCATTCGTCACTCACTCTCAGTAAGGAGTTCTATCCCAAGGAACAAAGACCACTGATTGGGCGATCGACGGCCTGCGAAGTGACCGCGATGAAACACAGCGGTTCGTCTGAAATCCAGGCCCGAAAGGATCGCATGGGGCACGGTCTCCGTACACTCCGAGACACGCGACAGATGTTGATCGGATTTCCTTAGATCCGTCCAGAATATTCCCTCATTGAATTTTATCCCGAAAGCTACACCGCGAGCTGCCTCGAGCTTCCCCGGCTCATCCGAGACCCCACGACGCCGACACAGCTACGCGCGCATTCTCTCTGAGCGATCCGATCTGCTCGGTGCAGACATCCATGAATATTGCGGGCAAGAGCGGAAGAAACTGGAGACGTAAGACAGCAAATGGATGGGTAGAAAGCAATGAGATACTCACTCACAACAGCCCAAACACGCGGGCAGCTATGTCGTGAATCCGTCGGGGTCAACGCCCTGCCGTCAGAGGCGGCACATGCGGCATTTTTCTCTGCTGATTCTTCCTACAGAAGAATATCAACAACAACGACGACAACAACAACGAAAAGAACGCGGACACGACAGAAACGCGAACTCATTCCATCGGGTTCCCCACGCAAAGTAATTCCATTTATTTCAAAACAATAGTTCGCTTCTGACGTTGCGTTTCGGTCGTCGCGGGGAACATGCCGCGGGGCGGCGTCGCACCGCCTCTTCCTCCAACTCTGTCAGTGAGTGTGGCGCTCTGTCGGAATTTTCGCTCGTTTTTCCTATGGGATCGGAATGAGCTCGAATCGTCCCGGCAACGACGGGTCGAGTCACGTTAAGGTCCCAGGCAGCTGCGTTATGGAGCGGTCCCCATCACGAGATTTGCATTTTCCAGCATCGAGAGCGCACGGAAAACCCGATGTCATCGAGCGGTTCTGAAATCTCCGAAAGAGCCTCCACCAGCTCGGAATTGTCTCCAAGGTGGGGGTTACCGCCGCCGCTCTCCCGCTCCGTCAGTTCCGCTGGAGACTGTTCCCAATCGGACCATGTGTTGAGATCGGCGATCGTCATTTGGGTCCGAATGATGGAATCCCGCAGTTCAATCATCTCCGTTCGCGCCGTAATGGCTCCCGATTGATCAATCAAATAATGAAATTCTGAGAAACAGAGTGAATTGAATGAAATAGGAAAATTCGTCGTGGAATCATCCGATGTCCCCCATTCAAACTGAATCGGAAAACAAATTTATTAAAAAAGTCCGCGTACCGTGGCAATACGAGATCTGTGGGAGTGTCGGGTCTTTCGGGAGCCAAAGCCACAACAAACGACACAACTCTGTCCGCGCAGTTCTCGACGGCACGACGAACAAGGACGGCAACGAGAGCAAGCGTTCGAAGGATGGAAGCGAGTGAGAGTGTGTGATAACAAGGGTTAATTTCAGAAAGTGACCCCTTGTGGTTTAGAACATGGGAATTCCCCTGGGGCGCTTCGGGTTGGGACTTTGGGAGCGCTGTTTCGCAGACGGAACCCCCAACGGTTGCCCTCTCTCGCCCCAAGCTTCGAATTTTCCTCAGTACAGCAGTCTGTGTCCCGTCTTCGGTCCCTTCGGCCCCGCTTCAAGCCGGCCGTCGGGCGCCTCAGCGTGTCTTCTGTCTCACTCGACGTTCCTTCCTCCCCCTCCCGATGCTACCGCCCTACCCCAAAGTCAGTTTGTCTGTGCACCGCTCCAATGACATTGCCTCCAGCCGCAAAAACACTCTATCCCCTAATCAGCGCATACTTAATCAAAGTGCTCGCCGTTCGTGGGGACAGCCTTCTTCCGACAATCTGGAGATAGAATTCCTTCACAAAAATTTCACGCTGTTTCATTTTGTCCGATATGTGGCCCAGCGTTCGAATGAGCCCGAGAGCTTGTCCGACGCGCTTCCAATCCGCTGAACCAGGAGCTCGGATCGCAACGTACACAGATACGTTCGAGTCATTTTTCTGTTGGTAGACCCAGACAGTCTCCCTTCTGTGGGCATTTTTACCCTCTCGCTCTTTTGACGAAGGAATCTGCGGAAGCTCTGAGGAAGATGATTATTTCTTCGTACGCTTGCCGATCACTACCGACGATTCGACCGAGCAAGTGCCTCAAGAAGTTCTCCTTCCCCACCAAACCGATGACTTCATTTGAATCGAATGGCTGGTGATGGTTTGTCTCCCCCACACTTTCTTTGCTGCTAAGCGGCTTACTCTCCAATGATGTGGTTTGCGATACCTCGTCTCGCGTCTCTCTCGCTCGGCTTTCAGTCAGTCAGGGTTCCCATCTTTTCCGACCATGATTCCCACCGCAGCGCAACCCAGTGTTGGTGGTCTTTTCTCCAATAATTCGAACGACCAGTGCTCATCGGATTATGGTCACAGCTCCCTTTCAAAGCCTCTTCCTCGGCTTCCCTCCGCCGCGCCAATCAATTTTGTCGCTGTCCACTTTTTACTCCACTACACTCGGGCTCCGAGTCGGTGGACTCCCTGCTCGAACTAATTATCGGGCTTGTCCTTGTACCTGTAACATTGATGAGCCATTTTCGAATGTGGCAACATCTATCAGCGAGCGTCTTCGGCGACTGGCACAATTGAGCCGAGTGTGCGACGGAACGCTTGCCGGTATCTGCGCGGACGGGGGCATTGACGGATACGGGAGAGACATGCGACTAACGTCACGACATAACGATGTTCTCCGTGACAAGGTTCTCGTTAGCTCGCCGTCCAACAACACCGTCATGAAATCGGTGCGTGTTACGTGGATTGATACCAGTGCGGGAAAGTCTACGATACCGAACGCCGTTCGTTCGCAAAGGCGAGGCGAGCGAACGTTATAAGAACGAGGGAAAATACATTCCGTGAAGAACGAGATGTTTATGGCCCTCGACCGATTCGAGACGGAATTTCACTCGTAATTCCGAACTTTTGAATGGTTCCCCACATTAGTTATACGAGGCAGTCTTGAAAATACGTGCAATGAGCCTTTGGTATGTGGAAAATCTGAGTCTGACCGGCACTCGGAAACTTCGACTATTCGGATTCAGTCTTACACGTCAGTAAGAGACTGCGATACGAATAAACAAAATCTCAAGAGTTTGTTTCCTTCAAAGTGCCGAAGGCGTTGTCAGAGCCATGAGTGCCCTGTCCCCGTCCCCCCAGCCGCCCACTCAATCCTCTCCTTCTCGTTCCGACTTTTTCCACTCGGCGTGAATCCCGCCTTCCCCGACTTTTTCCAGTTTTCCCTCGGCTGTCCCTATATTCGAAGAATCGCGTAGCTCTACATGCAATTGAAATGAAATACGACGCCCACTTCGCGATCGGCAATATCTTCCGTGCTCTGCTTGGGGAAATCTCGGGAGGTAGTTGCCCAAGAGAGCGACCTGGGAGAACTCGCGATACCGGATGAAAACCCCAGAGAATAGTGAACACCTTAAGGGGGCCCAGGACCACCGCAGAGTCGGAGAGAGTCCAAAAAAATCTTGGGAGCTTGAGGACTCGGTCGAGATTGAAAACGACAAAAAAACGAAAGCTATGAGAATAAGAGCAAGGTGAGCCCTTGGGTAAATATGATCTAGGGAGCAGAATACGAACCTTTCTCGATGCGTATGGACTCGATCGGGTAGCCGGACACTGGACAATGCAACCGAAAATCTGATCCTGTGATAGCGGTGAGATTTCGCATGGGTCGAATGAATGGTGGGCCGCTCACATCTGAAAAGGATCTCCCTGTCTTGAGATCTTGAATTCACTCGGGAGGAATGTCTCTCGAGACACGAAAGATCAACAACCCATGCTCCCTTGGAGTATTGAATAATTATCGACTCGGCTTCAAATTGATCCTTTTTTCGCAATCGAGGAACCTCCAGTGGATTCACTCACCGATTCTGGCAGTGTGCTCGATGACTCCGACGTCGTTCGTCGCTTTGCAAGAATACTCGCCGCCGTCCTGCACCCGGAGTGTCGAAATGTTCACGAACGATACCACGGCCGATCCATCGGGTTGGACGAAATCACCCTGGTGCATATTCCCGGACTCACTCACGGGGTAGCCGTCGAGGAGCCACGAAACTTGAGGGAGCGGGCTGCCCGTAGCAATGCATCGAAGTGAGGATCTTTCCCCCTGGTTGTGGACCCGGGCGTTGAAGGTGTCTTGGAAAGTCGGCGCGACTTCTGCAAAGACAAGGCGACGATTACAGCATCGATCCGTTCACCGGGCGCGAGAAGAATGAAAGATTTCAGATTTTCAATTTTTATTGATCAATTTGATTGAGCGCGGGTCGTGGCTTAATACGCTCCGCCGACGAATCAGAAAGACGCAATAACCGCTGTGTAGCCACCCATAAGCCGACCGCTCGCCTCCCTGCCTAACTGGTAGGTTGTTGGATTGGTCAGCTCGCTGGCTCGTTTGCTCGGAGACCAGCTAGCTGGCTGGCGGCCGGTGGCTTATTAAATTTCGGGAAAGAAAAAAGACTTCCGAGCTATGGCTAGCTCGTTCACTCGCCGCTGCTGCTGCTGCGGCCGCCGCCCGACGGACGAAGTGCGTAAATTAAATGACCGTCTGAGCGACAGAAAAAGCAAGAAAAAAAGAGAGGTCGTCTATAAAATGCCGTTTATAGAGAGGGAGAGAGAGTGCGGACGAATGGGCGAGCGAGCCGGTCAGTCCGTCGAGGCTACGACTGCCCCGACCGGTATCATGGGGTTCTCCTGTTCCTCAACATGACTTGGCGTGTCAGCACCGTGCTGCGGTCGGCTTTTGGTTTATGTTCGTCGCTATGCGACCGACCGGAGAAGAAGGAAAACAGCTGAAAGAGCTCAGAGCTATTTCGAGACGGGCGCTCGCAATGATTTGCAGCAGCGGCTGCGGGAGACTTTCTCATAATTTCGCTGGATCGGTCACATCTTCGATTTCAGAAGCAACAGCTCACAATTCGACAACAATATAAGTCAGGCGATTCGCTCGAGCTTCTTGTTGCAACTCTTCGGTGGCTCTCTCCGCCTGATGCGGCCCTCTCGTTCCGCGCTGAGATATGCATATAGTCGGGAGTTTTTCCGTATCCCATCTGAGACAGCAAGAGATAAGAGGAGGAGTCACGAGAGCTCGTAGACGCTCCTCAGCGCCGATAGGCTTCCTGGCGGTGATAGAGATGACCGGGGGCTGTCTGGAGTCTAGACCGCGGCTCTGCTCGACGCTGCAAGACCCCGAAGCTTGCTCTCGAAATCATCACGCTCAAGAAGAGAAGCCTTGGCCTATCGAGAGCGACTTGCAGCCTCCTTTCCGGGGAGCGTCCTTCAGGCATTCCACAGAGCTCACTCGGTAGAGTTCACGAAATGAACCTCATTTGGTGAAGTTCCTGGAGTGGAGTCCACGAAGTGGATTCACGTCGTGAAGGGCACATGACCACAGGAAGTGTCAGGAGCGCTCAACTAAAGGCACGGTATCATCTTGTCAGTGACACGTTCTGCGTAGAGCCGGCGCTCTGACCCAATTAATGATTCTTTCATCGAACTTCTGCACTCCTTCACAGTGATCCCGCGCTCGATGGTAATCTCACAGATACGGAGTTTCGCACATTCTCTTGGACGGCTCCCGGGATTCGACTCTATGCCTCCATGCGCCATAGTTTTATCCCTGATACCCGCTCTATTCCGCCCCCGCTTCCCCGTCCGTTCGATCGGCGTCCGATCTGGTCAGGCACGTAATCCGAATTGTGCTCTGGGCTGAGCGCTAGCTCCGAGACTGCTGCTCAGCAGAATTTACGGATAAGCATGAGGTTGAATGAAGCTTAGAATTCATCCTCCGGATGGTACCTTTTCCCTGAGAGGGAATGGGACGCTTCCAAGGACTTTCTCAATCCGCTATTATTCGACTTACATGCACCGAGTCCAGTGGCTTCAATACTTAGCGTTCTGCATTTGCACTAAAATCAAATGAGTTCTCCCGGTATCGCGAGAGTGAACGGATGAGATCGGAGCGCGATTGAATTATTACTCTCGGCAGATTGAATGGATATCGGAAGACCATCAAGGGATATTTTGCGTGACGAGAAAACAAGCCGGGCTCGCCCAGACCATATCATCGAAGGGGATTCGGGTCTCTGCGCTTCCTCCCCCCAAGCTAAGGTTTCTACGATGAGCGACGAGTAGCCCAGCGATCTATGGTGCGAGCTTGTCGAATGCTCTCTCACGACGACTCTGCGATGATGAGGAGGTTGTCGGTGCAAGCTCAGTTGCCGGCTCCTCCGAGGATCGTTTCAAGAATTGCCGCTTCTCTTCGAGACAATAACGGACAGTTTCGGGCAACGGCCGACTCATTCCCGACTAGACATGATTACGATCCAGACTTTGCTGATAACATAAGAATAAGCCCCCACATAGCGACAGTCAGGAACAAGTCGCGAGATATTGAGTGAGAGTACTGCCCCGAATAGGGAGGAGGCTTCCCATATGTTCATAGGTCCGACGAGGCATGAAACGATCGCAGTCCCCACCGAGTCTAAGAAGAGACATGGGAACGGGCTTGGAATACCCACCGTTGCTGCCACGATGGTGTTGGAGTCGCACCAGAGCTCCACGACCATCGCGTGGAGAAATGTTCCGATTACCCTACACATAGACTTCGTCCGAAATCGACATACAAAACTTCATAATCAAGCGACGATTGTAATCCGTAATCGGCTCTGCATCGGAGGCTCACTCTGAAGCTTTTGTTTCTGACGCGATAATTAGATTAGAATCGAGCAGAGAATCTGTTAGGCACGAACTTTTGCGGAGGAACGAGGTCGTATGGATAGTTTTCGATCAGTTGTTGGATCGAGTCTAAATATAGAAATTCAAGCGAGAGCGTTCCCAAGGGTTCGATTCGAGTCGTCTCTTCAAACCGACCATTCATCCGTTCATCCGAGCCCAGAGCTGACAGTGAACGTCGTCCGCGGCGACAACAATGTCAACGTCGAGCTCTGCTCACCGCTAGCGATCCGGGGTAGAGAGGAAGTCTCGTTGACTCCCCATCCCTCGGTCGCATGATGAGAACGATAATAATAAATTGTGCATCGACTCACGATAAGGCAACGCAGCCGTGGGTTAGCTGCGGTCCACGCTAGGATAGCTTAGCGTACCTTGCCGTGACCGTGACCGGGTACGGTGAGTCACGTAGCAAGGCTTTCAACTTAAGAGCCATTTCTCAATTACCTACGTAATTTCTATCTCCCCGTCATCTATGGAGCTTTGCACAAGTCGAGCAAAAGTATTAAGAGCATGCCCAGAATCCGGAGTCACGGATTGGGAGCATGACACGAATGTCCAACGGAACGGACGTCGCGGCAAAGCGAGAGGACATAGTCGGGAGCGATTCGTTGAGGTCTCCGCGATGAGTCGCAGGTCGATCCTGATCGCCCTCGGGGAAGGAATAACCCGCAGAAAATTTCCGCGAATCGACAAGGAGGCGTCATTCGTCATCGTCGTCATCACCATATCGCTCTGGAATCGGAAGTCGACCTCCGAAGACGAGCCAGCGACTTTCCGAAGAACCCGTAACTACTTTTGAGAATTCATAAGCTTAGACTTGGGCATATAGTCGAATCACTCCTTCCTTCGGCGAATCCCATCGTCGTCGCTCTCCGTGCCGACGGATAGCGGCTTGCTAAATGAAGTCGTAACGGAGTCGTTCGACCGATGGAGAAGAGTGGAGCAACTGTGGCGTTGAGGGCTTGATTAGAGAACCGAGATAGCGGCACTGGCGGAGGGGAGAACCGCTCCGGCGTAGAAGAACGCTCGGACGCAAAAGAAGAAGGGTTAGCTCACGATTGCAGCCAACCGTCTCACTCGTTCGAGAAGCGCTAGGACGGCCGGCTGACTGGACAAGCAGACCAACGGATGGGCAGACAAGCAGAGAGACAGGCAAGTTAGAGCGGCAGGAGCAGCGGCCGCCGATCTCCTGGTAGGATTTATTGCCCTCCTGTTACGCCTTCGGCCTTTACTGCCCAGTGTCGTCTTTCGGCGGTTCCTGGCTCTCCGTACAACTGCCACAAAACTTCCTCGAACACTTACAAACACCAACAACACCGGCGGGAAGGAGAGCATCCGGAGCACGAACTCCTGGCGGGTAGCAAAGCAAACGATCCGGCCGGTGACCGCTTACGAAAAACCGACTCCCTCCTACACTCCACAGACCTGGGAATCCGCAGGGTGTATCAGAGGAATTTTCGGAACTTCGACGGTTTCCGGCTAGCGCCCCCGTCAACCAATGAGCCAGAGACCTTTCAATGCCTCTAAAATTGTCCCGTAGTTCCCGAGGAGGCTCTGGGATTTTCTCGATTGCGGAAGAATCAATGTCTCAAATCGGAGAAACCGATGAAAGCTCATCATACGAACGACCTCGCCTGTCTCGCCCGAGGAGAGGTCGTTCCGTCACATAGAGGTAAATTTTCGTTTACCATGAACCTCGGTCAGAGAGGCCTGCTTCGAATTTGTGCGCTGGGTAGGTGTCGATAGATACGCGCATCTGGGGAACGCTCGAATATTCGGATAGCACCTCCACGATTCGTTTTTCTGAGCCACGCTCCCTCAACCAGCGCCCGTCCGTTCGAAACTAAATTGTTACCTACTCCTCCGCCAGAACTGTTTCGGTGCGAGGCTCCGCGTCGTCGCGCACCCGACCCATAAGTACCCTCAGCGAAAAACACGCCGAGCAGACTTGAGGTCTAGCGTATCGAGATTGGCGAACCGTCCTCCGAGCCGAGCTGCACGGGGCCACCTGTTCGGCTGCGAGTCTAAAAATTTTGTTCAAAATAGAGTTTCCTCCCTGCGACGTATCCTCGTCGAGGGCTTTCGAGTCAGCCAGCCAGCCTGCCCTCTCTACTGGTTCAGCCCGTACATGTTGGTATGTGTCGCAAATGAACGACCTCGTTGGCCATTACGGTGCCGGAGCCCGTATGGAGGCCACATGGATGGGGGTAGGATCAGATCGACCGACCGACCGACCATCCGCCGAAAGGCTTTGGGTACTGGGCGATAGAGGAACAAGATGGCGGCTGCGTTGAGGGAACCGAAAGGGGCATGTATGGATGTGATTGAAGCTGCAAACCGGGAAAGTCTGCCGGGGCAGCGGGAGACGGTCGTGGGGAATACGGAGGAGGGGACAAGTGCGCTTTTATCCAATTTTAATTGAAGCACGTCCAAAGTTTGGCGCTTTGCAAACTTATTGGTGGACTACTCCGTCGGCGTGGACTCGCTCGCTGCGGTGTGCCGAGACGTGATCAACATAACTCCTCATCTTGGAGATTGAAGAAGGAGTTCACCACTACCGCCGCCGCAGCCGCAACCGACGTCAGCAGCAGTGCTTCCGAACACTCGGCCACTAAGTCACTCGGTTTGTCAAGGAGTCGGTCATTCACACTCTGTCCTTCACACACCAGTACCGGGGTTGGATTTCGGCGCGATCGACGATTGTTTCCGCTCGCCCCGCGAGCTGCGGACAACTTATGGAAATGGGGCGCGATTGAGAAGCACGCGTTAATTGTGTTGACCGACCCACCCGTCCACCGAAGCTACCCGGAGCCTGGCTGGACCCGCGAATTGAGTCCAAGTCATTTGAGATGGCATTTCGCCCATTAGGATTGCGCACCCCCTCCGCTGCCCAGTCTGCCCTGTCGTCGTTTTATGGGCAACGGGAGCGAACAAGCGGACAGTTAGCCAGACTGTCGCATTCATTCCACGAAACGTCCCCGCCGTCCACGTCTGCCCCCTCGAATGCTCCCTGAACCGCAACGCTCCCAGCCGGTCTCAGCTCACCATCACCAGCGCTGGTCATCATCGATGCCCACCAATCGCCGAAAAACGCCCGCCAGAGCACCGACGGAGCAGGACAGCTCGAGTGAATTTGCGGGAAAATTAAGCGAGTCATCCCGAGGAATCGCTCGCCGTCTTCATACCGTCCCCGGGCTGCTCTGCCAGTGAATTCAGATGCTCTTAGTCTCAGAGTTCATCCTCCTTCCACAACCCCGACTTTTTCCTCCCTCGCTATCTTCTTTCGGTGGGCATGCTTCTGCGGTCGTGATATCCGTACAGTTCCGACCCGGGAAATTCCGCGGTTTTCCGTCGAAAAATCCAGCCGACACGGCGCGGCGTAAGTCTCGACGGCTGATATAATTTACGTCGAATCAGAGAGGGGACTAATAAGTTCTACAGAAGAAAAAGCCCTAGCAAGTACGGAGATTCGAAATGTGTCCGAACTTTGAGGAAAGAAAGCAAAATAATCCACCACCGTAGCCGACCATATGAGGTAAGCGAAATGTGTTAGCTAGGTATTAGTATAATCGGGCGAGTCAGGTCACCGTTGAGCGCATATTGCCGAAGCTGAAAACGCAAGGCTCAGCTCCCCCCCGGAACTAATATAGAGAGACTGCTTTTGGTCCTCCGGTCGACCAACTACGCAAGCGGGTGGCCGGCCGGCCGTTCATTCGTTCGTCCGTTACGTCCACGCTAGTGCGGCGGCGTTCGGCCCAACACGGATGGGAGAAGTTCGAGGTTGGCGAATAGGAGACGTCAAGGAACGGCGGTCAGCATTTATAAGCCGGCGGGTATCGGCAGGCACGCAGCCAGTCAGCCCGTTTGCTAGCTGGGCCTTAGCAAACTTTGCTACGTGATATTTTGCGCGACCGCCCGTTTCGATCCAAAAACATCCACAAACTCACAGCAGGCATACTGTCTGCCTCATGGACGGAAATATGAAGCTGCAGAAGGCTTCATCGCGTACGCTTCGATTGCGAAGCGGAGCGAGGTGAGCATCGAGCGCAAACTTATCCGCATCAGACTCTCGATGTCAACCAATGACGCCGATGGGTTCTGGCGGGGATCAGCAAGACAGCGATGCCGTGGAGACAGCTCCGCTTTCGTAGTCGACGTGACTCATCACGCGCGAGCTTTGATCATTTCACGCAGGCGGTATGCGTGTGCAACAAAGTTAAGCGAAGTCAAGCCGTGAGCTCAGTGCGATATTCGCCGAATGCGGGAAGCCTTCGTGGGGTTCGTCCCGCACTCCGGCCGCCCGACGTGATTTCAATACCGGTCGTGTCGGGCACTCGGGTGAAATACGCGGAAGAAAGAAACAGGGCTCGGTGAACGCGGGACGCTTCCATCCCACGCACATCGATTAGGAACTTTCGTGGACGAATCGTTGATTGATCTCTGTGGAATGATTTGATTACCTTGCACTTTGAGATAGGCGTAGCCTTGCGCAGAATCGCGGAGGTTCCCGACGTAGCATTGATATACGCCGGAGTCGCCCCGACGGAAACCGGAAATATGGAGGAGAAGTTTTCCCAGAAGTCGAACTCGATGATCGGTGATGAGCGGCTTCTGATCTTTCGTCCAGGACACTTGACTAACGGGTCCTCCACGATATGTGCAGTTGACAGTCGCGTCGTCTCCACTCCGGACGCTCAGCAGACGGGGCATCATCACGGCGTCGAGAGGAGCTGAAACAGAGGGAAATCTCAGAATTCTGAATTTTCTGGGAGGCAGTGTCATCTCATCGCTGCATGGAACTAATTTCCGATACTTTTCCTGACGGTTGACGGTGACTGACAAATCCTGCTCCCAAACTAAACACATGGAGCGCTCTAGTCGAGGAAATATATTTCAAGTCCTTCCCTCGCTGTATCAAGCTTCCCGTTTTCTCGTTTGGCTAGACTGCGAAGTAGCTTGTTTATAATAATTCGAAGTACAGTATACGAGACATGGTACGGTACGACAAAGTGGAACTCTCGCCTAGCGTCCCAAAAGTTCATCACCGCCACATCGGGAATTCATTCACTCGCGTTCCCGACTCCCTCAGATCGCGAGCACACTCGAAGAACATCTTTCCCTTGGAAATATTCGTGTAATTCCAAATAAGTACATACAAAGACTCCTCAATCGCTCGACGTCGGCCGCTCTGACGCTCGCAATGATTTCCGAGAAGAAAAATTGTTCTGCCGCAGTGAGTTGGTCCGAATTAGTTACTGTGCATCGTTGTGAATGGGTCAATGGTCATGCAGACGGTATCTTCTGAGAGGTTATATTTCTTTCCGCTGCTCATTCCATCCGTCCTGGCACTTGACCGCTGACGGCTCATTATTGTTCCGCCGACTCCCGCAGGAACTCGGCATCGAGAAATGCCTGTCACTGGGCCGGACGCGACGCTCGCGGGAAGCGGCCGAGGAGTTCTCCCGCGTCCATCTTCGTCGTTTCCAGCCAGCCAGCGTTCCACGGGACGATGGGGGCGAATATTCCAGCCCCGGAGCTTCGGAGCTCGAATTGCCTTCAATATATCGTCGGTCTGATCCTTATCTCGGCCTGACGCGGGGGCGGCAAAACACAAGCAGCTGACGGCGATGACGTTTGCTGTTGGCATATGGGAAGTTTCCCAATAGCTGCAGAACTCCTATTACTACCGCGGGCTCCTTCGAGTTACGGCCTGTGAGAGGCAACCGAGGAAACAGGTGACCAGTCAGGCAGGTAAACGTGTGGTTCGCTCTGTGTGGAGCTAACTGGCCATTGACTGTTGTCGGAAACAACACTCGAATACCAATACGGCGCGGCCGCCATCGCAGGTTTTTTTTCGCTTCGTCGTCGCCTCGGCAGCCAGCAGTGCCATACTCGTTTGAGATAACCTCTCCCTAAATAGCTGTGCCGCCAGCGCCGGCCGCAGCCGCTCTCCGATGGACTCTATCAGGAACGGTGAGAACGAGGGAGAAAAACGTAACGAGAGCCGAAGAGAGAGTTGCGAAGGTCGGAACAGCGTTGATGGAGCCTGGCAGCACACCTTCAACGGAACCGGATGTAGAGAAGGAAGTCGCGATCAACTCTACGACCAATTAGCTGCTGCGCTCCTACTGCTGCCGCTACTGCCGGACTCGCAGCACCGCTCGCTCGGCCAAGTAGAACCGAGTGGAAGAAACTGGTTGTTAAGCAATTTCCACCACGGTAAAGACCACGTCGAAGGGAATAGGCACGCAGTTGGCGGCGGAGCCGGCGACCAGCTGTAATGTCCGCACGCGGCTCCGCATGCTTTTTCTTACTTCGCCCTCGAGCGCGCCTTCCTCAGCTGGCTGCGAACGCGACGACGAGCCGAGACTGGAACCTACTGGCTGTGGTCGTAGCCCGTTCGCACGCTAGCCGGTTGGCTGGCTTACTCGATCCGCTTACCGGGGCACGGAGGAAGATCCATAACTAGCTGGGAGGGAACGACGTCGTCCGAGCGGTACTTCCATTACGAAAGCCTCACTTGGAATCCCTTCCACGCGCAATGACCGACAGCCGACTAAGCGGCCGCTTCCTCCCGTCCATAGCTGACGCTCTAACTGGCGGATCATTATTGACAAAGGATCATCATCGTCAAGGTTTGCTGACTGACTGACCGACGGACCTACAGAGTTGTTTCACGGTTCACATAGTTTTTGTCGAGGCTGAGCTTATAGCGAACGGTACACTGAAAGGTTACGCAAACATCAATTTCCCGGAAGCGAACGACGTCTTGAAGCTCGATATGGCCCCAGATACGTTTACGTACGTATATCACGGGGCGACTGGTGGATAGCCCTGCGCAGATCTCCTCTCAGGCGAATCCCGAGCAGCCCCCTATCGATCCTGTGGGGCTGTCGCAGGATATCCCGGAGATTTCCGGGAATGTTGAAGACGGTCGGTGTCGGATTGAGGGTCGTCGAACTCGAACTCCGCCATATTGTTCCACAATCGATTCTCTTTGAGGAGCTCAAAACATCCGACGAGCCCACAAAAAGACGAAGTCAGGACGGGAAACAAGCTCCTCGAGAACAGACTCACTCCATCTATCGAGGAGTCTCAAAACTTTGTCGCAGAGAGTTCTCGAGGAGTTCCTTGGGAGGAAGCCGCTCGAGGGGAGTCAACAGGTAATCGAGAAGCGGGGAGTGTCAGAGAAGGGGGAAGAGGGAAACAGTAGAAGAAGAAAAAGCGGTAGGTGGAGAGCTATTTAAAGGCGGCTCGGCGGGAGAATGCCGTAAAATGTTTATGAGCACGCTGATCTGCCGGCTTTTCGAAATTGAATATCGCGCATACAGCCCCGCAGTCGCGAACAAAGCCTCCGTTCAGCGTGAAATTCGTTCGCAACTCAAGTCCGTGCTCACGGCGGGCGGCCTGGCGAGAGCAAGAGGTGACCGAGTTGATCCGCGAGCGGCGAAGGGAGATTAAAAATGATTCCTCGCTTCAATCTCTCCTCGTGATGCCGAGTAATCGAGAGCCCCCCCGCGGAAATCAGAGTTGGCAAAGTCAGACGGTGTTGAGGAGCATGAGGATCGAGGAGGAATATACTGTGGATTTCAGAACAGAAGAGCGTCCACGGAAACGAAGATTCGAAGAATGGTAAAACAGAAGATGAAGGACGAACTACAGAAGGATATCGCACAGGAGCAGTCTGCGATGTGACGGCGTCGCAGAGCTCCGGAAATAGGCTAACCATGGCCCGGATGTAGGCGTATTGGCCTTCCGGGCCGGGTGGGGCAAGCGAGCGAGCGAACTAGGCGCGGGTGTGGAGTGGAAAAGAGCTCCCCGGTCGGGCTAAACGCGGGTCCCATCTTTCAAGCTACATATCTCCGAGCGCTCATCAAGTACGAAATTGTCTGCCGTCGGCGCTACTGTTTCCATGCCGCGCCAGCCTACCAGGATCGCCGCATCTGTGGACTTTCGAAGCAACACGTAATTTATTGCAGCCGGTTTGCTATTTCCTCTCGTTTGTTTTCCCGCGTTGGCTCTCGATGCGCCCATTCGAACTCCGTCTTATAGCCGGGGTTTTATTTTTCCCTCCTCGGCGATGCAGAAACCTTTCACATGGAGATTCCCGCGATACAGATTTCGGCCCGCCTATATAAATTGTTCCATATCACGCGTGGTCTCAATTCGCCTCAAATAGTTATTTGCTCCATCTTTCCCGCTTTCGCGCAGATCGCAATTACGCGCCATGAATTCTCCGCGGTAATGATAAACCGTAGATACTTCCCAAATCGTCGGTAGAAGTGCTCGTCGGGATCTTAGGTTCCTCGAGGGCTCCGTCGATTTCCACTGATCGCCGTTAGCGGCCCGGTTTCATTTGTTATTTGAGTCGTCGTCGACGTTGTTGGCAAGAGAATGAAGCGGCGAGGTAGAACAGCGGAACTCGGCGTACAGCCGAAGGCGGGATGCAGGTATTGAGCGCCAAACTGCAACCATCGACAACAACGGCGCATTCGATTAGGGGAAGCGGTCCGACCGAATCGACCAGATTGCGTGGGGAATCCACGCGGCTCGGGTGTTACTCAACCAGATGGAAACTTTGTTCAGCTGTTTCGATGATGATGATGATGATGACGGCGGTCAACAATGTTCGAGGTGATCTTACACCGACGAGAGTAGCCCACAAATTAATGATCGTTCCGAATGTGGGCCGTGTACCCTCGAATCCATCTATTCATTGGGCTGAATCATCCATCAGAACCATCGTTGATTCACAAACTTCTCGATTCATCCACCGACAAATTCGACGAATTCGCTTTGCGTTCGCCGTCTCGAGCATCGTGGGGCTTAGCGATTACAAAGTCCACGAATCGATGAATAGTTGAATTAGGGCCTCGAATACGGACCTGCAGGACCGAGATCACCGCTCAGGGCTCGGAATGAAGCGACTGCGGCATAAATACGACCAACGTGATTGTCCGTTCGATTTCGACTGCGGTCCCTCGTGGGGAACCTGTCGCACAACGAGATGAATGCCGGTCGGACAAATTAGCGGAGGGACATGCAATAGGATGCGGTCGCGGTCGCTCGGCAGAGGGAGCGACAGAGGAACGATATCAGCGTCGACGACGGCAGAAGCAGCAATAAGACGTTCTATTTGGTGAAAGAAAAAGTTCACTTCCATTAGACGACACGTCAAGACAACTTAACAGCCATCTGAAGTCTCCCAAGACTCCGGCGGGCCTGAAGCTCCGGAGCGCTCGACTCTCCGCGCTTAACAACGTCACACCAGAGACAGCAAGCGAGAACAAGACGTCTGAAGGTCTCGCGCGATTCCGGACCAGGGTTTGCTTGACAGAGCTTGAGCCGTACCGCACAAACGCTGTGGGCGCTCGGGAGTGGGTTAAGGTGTCCGCGCAGACCTGCGATGTCGCATGGCTGATCCGACCGCATAATTTGTCTTGATTTGGGTCTGTCAGCCGGCTCGCCAGCTCGACGACCGCGGCCGGCGCACTCAAGTGGCGAGACAGCAGCAGCAACACAAATAAATAATAATAGTTCTTTACAGATCCCAGAGGACACCAGGACTGCCATCGCTTGCACTACCAGGACTGCGACCAGAGCGGCGACGTCGACGCCGACCGACGACCGACGACGTCGACGACGATCACCGTCAGCGACACGACAGGAGGTTCCGCACCGTCACCACATGGTTTTAGTCACGAAGCGTTGCCAAGTATTTATTACGTTA